ACAAAGAAGCAGAGATACCATTGAGAAAATGAGCATTCTACAGTGAGAGACAGGGAGAGGGAGATGGGGAAGGACGCGTGGGAGGGTATTACCAATGAATGAATTTTTAATAGCATTGAGATCAACCGTACCCAGGAGCTCAAACAGAAATAAATACTTTGCCTTCATATTTTAAACCCTCCCCCCTTTCTTTCTTTCTTTTTTTTTTTTATAAAATGTAGCAACAGTATGTTTTCTTTTTCTTTTTTTTTCTACCAGGATGGTTCTTAATCATTCAGCAAACATGACAATGTACCTGACACCAGAAAGCGAGGCGAGACCCTGACAGCAAGACAGGCAGGGACAGAGAGGCTTATGGGTAAAAACAGCGTTGCACGCCACTCACACCACATACACACCGCCAGTTGATTACCCCAGGTGTCTGCATTCACACATGAGGAGCATTTGAATTTTAAACTCCTCCAAAAACATGTGTCAGCCCTCACCCATCTGTCTGTCACCCTGCAACGCCCTGACAATAGCACGAGCACAATTAGCTTAAGCTGCGAGAATGTGCCAATTTACCCCCAATTTCCTGCTTACAGCATCAGACTTTTCTTTCAAATGTGTATTTTTTTAGCATAATATATGAGGCGTGCCATTTTCCTTGCCAAAAGCATCTCCATATCAACGAGGATGTCCCAATTTGCCGATTTTGAGGCACATCCCTATTCAGTGCTTAAAACATTACAATTTTAGCGGCTAGTGTTGCATTCAATTCAAATGTACATCGCAGCATGAAAAGCTATTTTGGTCGCAGAAGATGTTCCCTTTTTGCCGCTGGCGTGGCATTTTCTTGCAATCATGTTGGTATTTTTTTAGCAGGTGTAGTCAGAGAAAAAGATACAAGAATAGTTCCAGCCTTCTAGTTTCTTACAGTGTCCAGGTTTGTCATTTGTGCATCGTTTTCTCTGTCTACAATTTCTATGCAAGCTCAGAATGCAAAGGGACGGGGTTCAAAGGTGTTTTATGTGAATGAACTGACTTTGTTTGGGTATAGTATGCATACACTAGCATAAGCAGGGGTAGGATTATCAATGTGCAGCATATGGGGGGAAAAAAGAATAAATAAGTAATTAAACAAATAATAAGTTTATTATAACATCAAGCCCACATTACAGTCCAGTCCACATATCTATGTGGGTTCACTGCATAAAATACATCATTTTCACAAAACAAGAGTTTTGTTAAGGGGCTATTCTTGACTGATCACTTTTAGTTTAGCATTTGCACGCATGTATTTTAACCCATTTTTCCCCCCTAAACTTAGCCAAGTCCCAAAAAGATTCGATCCAGGACTTGATCTTTAATTTCTGCAATGAAGGACCCATAGTTGATAACACTTCTCGTTTCTTTATGTGTAGAGCGAAAGAAAGTCGCCATTACCGTGACATGAAGCCCACATGATGAGAAAACAGGGCAACAGAAAGAAAATGACAGCACATAACTTCGGTATCTCACAATTTTACACCCCTTATCGTGAACCTTATACATTGATCTGCTGTGACCAATGAAGTAATCACATTTTTGTGCGAGATGGCTTTGTGATATACATTAAGTATTAACTGAATAAGTATTTGCACTGAGAACCAATTGTCAACTTTTTACTTATCTTTCCTAATAGTATTTCTTTGTTCTCTGTCAATGTCTTTTACTCCCTGTGTGTAACAAATCTGCACAGTAATATCTCGCCCAGCAATATCAACATAGTGTGATTCATACAGCCTCTTCAGCAAGGCCAAACAAAGCTGCAAAGTGCTCTTTCAGTCTGGTGATGGCAATTGCCTCCTATGAGGCTTATAGCTGTCAACAAGGCTGCAGGCAGGGTACTAAGTCAGTGGGATGTCATGAAAATGGGAAAAAGATCTTTAAAATTCTAAAATAATGTGTGTGGCTTTACAAGCAGCAACCAAGCAGTTTGCCTCGTTTCCCAGAGAAGATTTCTCATGGAGTAATTGGTATGCAATTACATAAAATATGTTCATACATGCAGACTGATTTTATTTAATGCATACTAAAAGGTATGGCAAAGAAAAATGATGAGGCGTTTTACAGTGTACATGTGCAAGTTTAAAATTATTTGCAATTAAGGCACAAAGTATTTGGACAGTTTCACTTTTGTTCTTCAGGCTTTGTGCGTCATCCCATTTGATATGAAATAAAATAAAGGCTAAAGTCTTAGTATTCATTTGAGTGAGTTTAAATCAATATACATCCTATTTAACAGTGTTGGAGCCACTTATGCCAAACATGGTGCCAAAGTTTAGAGGTTCAAAAGTAAGTGGTCAGATATCCACCAAGTCAAACAAGGTCATCATGAATAATATTTTGTGAAAACTCCGTCGCAGTCAATAACTGTCTGAAATCTTTGACACATCAGCAGACGCTTTGTATCGTCCCAGGTGATGATCTCCAAGGTCTTCGCCGCAGACACCATCAGCCCAGCGCTTGTTGTGGGATTTCTCTGCCTTCAGTCTGGTTTTTAACAGTCTAGAATGCAGCTCACTCAGACCGCGATCTGGTGATTGACTCAGCCAGTCAAGGATGTTCCAGCTCTTTACCCTGAAACATTCTTTGGTTGCTCTGGCCATATGCTTAGAATTCTGCTGAATAATGAAATGTTGTCCAAGTTGAGAACTTTCCGAGCTGTATACATCTGCATCTATCCTGTTACTTCTGTCAGCAATGGAATGATCAATAAACACTGGGGTCATCAGCAAACATGCATGCATGTGGCCGTAGCAGAATCACCAGATGAGGTGGTATTCTCTGGGTCATGAGTCGTTTCTTTGATCCTTCACACTTTTTTTTCCCCAAAACTTCGATGAAGATTTCTGTTTTTGATGTTTCCCAGGGGGTTGCATGGTTGGGTTAATGCTTTGAGGTTATGGGCATGAAGTCTTCTCTTGTTCATAAATCCATGTTTTCATCATGGAGAGGATGTTGACTCATCCACAACAATCGTGCACCAGGTTGCTTTACCCTTTATTTCTGTGCACATCTGCATTTTTACACTGTTGACGTTTGCAAACCAGCGACCTTTGATACTGATATAATGAAAGTTTCGCATGTTCTTGCATTATCTGCTTTCATTCTTTCTTCATTCGTATCTTCACTCGCGCGGTCACTCCTTTTACTCCTCATGTTGAAAGGCAGCTCTTTAGTGTAACCTTGAAACGATGCAGAGCTGTCCAAAACACATTGCACAACAGAGTGTCCCATTACTTTTAGACCCTTGCAAATTGGGTATTGCATGTTAAAGGGGCTACTCTCAGTCATAGTTCTGTCAGTATAGACAAAAAAAACCTCCTCATAAATCTCATAAACCTCACATAAACACCAAATTACAGCTGTGGCTTGGCACTTTAATGCAGTATCCATTATTTTATTTTAAATTTACTATGCTGAAGCTCAGAGCCTGCATAACAAAAAAAAAAAAAAACTGCCCAAATTCTTCCAGCCTGAAATCTGTGTTGAATGATGAACGCAATAAAACTGGAGTGAAGCCAAAAGTAGACGATACGGGTGTTGTCAGTTTATGTCAGTGATGAAATTCCCATCATTTTTTAACCATTACATATGGTGCAGAAGGGTAAAAATGATCAGTGTTCCTCTTTGACTTTCCAGTTTTAATTCTAAGGAAAGGGATTGATTAAAATTCCAGCCAGCAGTTTCAGAAATCTTTTTAGTTTATCAGTGTGGTTTTAATAAGTAAAACGGATCAACAACCACATAGATCTGGGGGTTTGGTTGTTGTAATACAATAATGGATGCTTCATTAAACTCTCGGCTTTAATTTGAGTTAGATTAAATCAATAAACATCATATTTAACAGTGTTGATGATATTGGCGACACTTTAGTTTAGACAGATATCAATGAAGTCAAAAAATGTCATCGTAAAAAACATTTTGACAATACAGCAGTTGTGTACCAGGTTGTTCTGTCATTTTTTTTTTCTGTGCACACCTGCAGTTTTAAAAATTACCAACTGTTGATTTTGGCAAATGTTTGATACAGATATAACGAAAGATTGAATTTTCTTGCATTATCATCTTTCATTCTTCCGTTATTCTTATCTTCACTGAGTCACTCCTTTCCTCCTCGTGTTGAAAGACAGCTCTTGAGTGTAACTTTAAAATGATACAGAGCCGGGAAAAAAAACAACATTACACACTTTGTGTCCGTGGCGTCCGCTGCTGCGCATTCGCATGGGAGAATATTCAAGGCTTGAAGAGCAACAAAGTGTACAAAGAATGTTTTTTAAAAAAGCAGGCTGATCCAAACAGACCAAAGTAAAGTAATGTTTTCTTTGAGATGTTCGTGAGTGTGTAAAATATTTCAATGAATGCATGTTGCTTTCTTTCATTTCAAGGTTATATCATTCACTTACAACTATGTTTACTGCACAGTTTGGTTAAGTAGCTGCCGAGAAGCGAGCTGACCTGCAACATGTCCTTATAGTAATAAAAGTAGCACATAGCTGTGGCAAATACATGTAGTAGTTTTAATAGTCTTAATAGGTTTAACGGTCTTAGACGAACAGGACTGACACATATGGAGCACGATGTGAAATAATGCAGTCGGTATAATGTAAAGCTGCACCACATTTCATATCTTACTAGGAGCAGTGGCATTCTTTCCTCTACCTATTCTTATTATCAAGGGCTCTTACAATGACTCAAATTAAAACTCCCATTAATCCGACAGTGTAATCCCTCCACTGCATGGGGCAGTCTTTTCAGCCTGAGTGTGGATTAGAGAACACTGAGACCCCTGTGTTGGTGGTCACTGGTGTATAACACCTCATAAAGATATGCAGTGTGTGTGTGTGCGCGCGTGTGCGTCTCCGTCTCTTGCTGTGCTGGTGGTCAGCATTTTACAGCACCGAAAGCTCGCATGTGTGGGAGGGGTGGAGTGCTGTACATGTGGATAATGTGCTCCTTTTACTCTTTGTGGTTACCTGGTGAAGAGGAAAATCCCTGTGAGGTGGTCTTCGTGCAATGTGGACTACAATGAAGGAGGCCTGTAACAGAGGAAACGGTGAATTAATAAAAAATAAGCCCCCCTGAGTCGAACACTGTTTGACTAGTCAGAGGGCACCGAGACATAACGGAGGGAAGGGTTTGGACGAGGACAAAGTGGGGACCACATAAAATGTCACTGTTTGCAAATGTTTTGGGGCATACAGAGGTTTTACCATGGTGCTCTGAATTTATTAAAGCTTGGTTAAACAAAGCTTTCCATTTGTTAACCTTTGTTGAATCAAGAAGCACATGTAGCCGACTTGCAGTACTTCACACACCACACACTCAAGTAAAGGGCTTTTGTTTATGGTTTTTTCTACCAAAAAAAACACTATAAATCTAACTTTATTTTCTATATTTCAAAGGAATTCAACTTACTGGACACATCATTGACCTTTCCTCCAGCAGTTCATTATTCTGCTCACACTGTGTCCCTTATTGCACATGTAGTATATGTAAGTATCTACAGAATCTTGATTCCAACCCAACGATGAAAAGCAGAGCAAATGTGGCTCATTCCCTGAGATCATCCATTAAGAGCAAACTGGAGCCGGTGGACAAAAACACAGAAGGCAAATGAAAAACTGAAACAGTACTAATAATAATAAAACATTTACATGCCTCCGCTGCTGTATCGGAAAATCTATACAATCATGAAACGGTATCGGTCAGAGATGCACGGCTGCACACGTCTCACTGGAGCCCGGAATTAATATTTTCATCACGCGGTTGCAGCATCCCAAATGGGGGACTATCTTAAAAGGTGGTCCTCAACATAAAAACAGTTTATCTTCATTAGAAATAATGATGCATTGTGTTTGTGCATGAGTGCGGTTGTGCGGTTATGCATGCATGTGAGGATCTACGAAGAGATGTACAGTATGTATATATTCATAGCTGACTGTTATAGCCATTAAAACGAGGCCCACCAGTCCACAGTGGCAAACAGGCAGATATTATCTCATTCAGCAACACTGTGAGCTTATAGAACAGTAAAGCTGCCTGCTGATAGTTTATTAGAAATCATTCGCCAAGTCAGGTGTGTGTGGTCAGAACATCACGCTCTGATTCGGTCTGGTCTGTGACTTTGTCAGCGGAAAATAACAAGGACATCAGTATAGTTGTTCAGCATTTTGAGAAATGGGAACTCTCTTTCAAAGCAGCATTACAAACCTCAATAAGCAAAATCAAATGAGATTATTAATTTGTTGCGAGACGCGTTGTTTATCGAGTCGCACCAACTTATTCCCGTGAGATCGACACGTCTTGCAAAATCTTGTGTCGTTGTCTACCGCAGCCGTTTATCCGTTTATTTTGCAGGCTTGTTGTTTCCCTCCCGACGCACCGAAACCGAAGCGTTTCCAGAAAATCTTCCTGCATTAACGCAGGATAGATGTACCCTGGTCACGCTGTTAAAAACATGGGTGGGCACACACAAAGTGTCAGGTACAGTGCAGAACAAAAATCTCCTAATCTCCTAACTCTTTGCTATTCATTATTATTTTACAGGGCAGCCATCCCAAATACATAAGGCCCCTATCCTGCTCAGCCCAGTCTGCCAAGCTCCAGCTCTGGGTTTGATGTTCCTCCAACATCCAACAGGCTATGATTATTTCATTCCTTTTTTAACATAACGCATCAATTATTCAACCTTTGCTAGACCAGATTTGATTTTTTTTATTTAACAAAAATGACTGTGTGTGTGTACGAGTGTGTGTAAGTGTGTGTGTGTGCGCCTCCACCCATCTAAGGGGAGACTGAATATTCAGCGCTCTGCAAAGATAATACCTCATGCCTTAGATGAGTGATGGATGGCGAAGGGGTGGAGTAGAAGAGGGGGAAAAAACTACAAGTACACTGGAATAAATGATGACTGCATTAGCATAGGATGGCAAATGCTCCCTTCACTCCACGATAAATTGCTCCCATCCTCAAGGCAAACTGTCCACACAACAAGTGCAACCGTGACATTGGAGTGTGTGAGTGCGTCTGTGTTTTCTTGTACTAATTTCGCTGGAGTGTGCAGCAGCAGAACTGTGTGCAGACACATCGCATTATCATGCACTGACACAAATGTATTACATCCAGGTTTTGAAATGCAGTTAAGTAAATTCAAACACCCATTGGGCGACGAGAGTAAACTTTTACCATATAGATGCGATGAAGTCTGAAAAAGTTAGAACTGCGTCCCTAAAGCATTTCATTGTTAAATTAATTAGCTTGCAATGCACAAGTCTCTCATTAATTCATACCTTTACAAAAATTATCCCTTTATCCTTCGGCCTCATTTCCTCTCTCCCTCCCTCTATATCTCTCTCTCTCTCCCCCGCCGTTCCTCTCCTCTCCTCACATCCTCATCACAGCTAATGAGCCCACTTAAATCTATGCCAAAACACAAACAGCAAGAGAAAATGAAATAGGTAGAGTGCTTAGTCTGTTTGTTAAAGGATTCATCATGTGAGCTGTTTTCAATAAATAATACATTCAAACACTGACTTTTGTCTGCAGACGAGACTTCGGGACATGAATTATGCATTGTTATTCTTGGATAGGGCAATACAGGGACAGGGTGGCAGTGTGTGTTGTATGAATGTGTGTGTACATGTGGTAAATCCCTGATACACACTGCGAAGACAGATCCAGAGGCTCACCAAAAATCAAGGCATCTATGTGGACACAACTCACTGTGATTACGATTCGCCGTTTTGTTTGCGTGTGCAGTCGAAACCTTGAGCTCCGAGACGCTCAGTTTGACTTTGTGTTCAAACTTAACTCAAAAGGATCACAAACTGCAGCTATTATTATCACTTCATCTTATTCTAATCAAGTCTCTTTAATGGCTGGATGATGAAGAGCAGGATTTGTGTGTTTTAGCTCACTGGTCCTGTGTGTGGGAGGTGTGTGAAGTGGCCTCCCAGCACATTTGTGTTTACAGTATTTTTCCATTTGATCTCTACTCTCTCCCTTTTCTCCTCCTTTTTTTTGCTGCTTTTTCCTACTCTGTAGTCATTACGACAACAAAGGAAGCTCGCATTCCCGCTAGACAGTGGAAAGGTTCCACTGTGCTAAAATATGTGATTTTTTCTTCTTTTTTTTTTTTTCTTTCACCCATTTCTTGTCTGTTGTCACCGGGAAACATGAGTGAAAAACTTGATTGAAAATCAGGAAAAAGGGGAACAATTACAAAGAAGAGAAAGGCACTCATCCACCCGCAACAGCAATCATCACTGATCTCTGCTGTCATTTCACTCCACAGTAAATAATTCATCAAAAGAAACAAAGGGGGAAACAAATATGCAAATAAACCCCCGAAAAGGCCAGTAACATCGGTCTACCGCCACAAGGGAAGAACAGTGGTGGATTATTATCATGGCAGGTTATGACTGTGATGAATCTGAATTTCTCTTGTTTCATCTACCTTGACAGTACTGAAGTCACACAGACACAGAAAAAAAAAAAAAACCTGGAGGGATTTGAGGGTTTGATTGAGGAGGGGAGGGAGGGATGGAGGGATTAAGGACAAGGGGAATGGAAGGATTGAAGGAGGGGGGAGGGGGGGGAGGGGGCAAGAGGCAGGGAAGAGGGGTAGTAGACATCGGAGGGAAGAAGAAAGAGATTTGGGAGGGGATGGGAGGAAAGGAGGGAGGGAAGCTTTTGAGGGTGTATTCGACAGTGCTGTGAAAGGTAGCCATCAAGGGCTTTGATGAAAAGTGCAGGCCTTCTAAAGCTTAGGAGTGACAGCATATGATTTGGTCAAAGCATGAAGCTTTTCAAAGGTAGACATTCTCACTCCCATTCATCTCTCTCAGGTTGAATATAACTTTTGGGCTGAGCTCTGGCAAAATTCCGAATTGGTTTGACAGATTGACTGCATGTGGTATTGTCCCTGTGACTTAGAGACAGTAGGCTGCCTGGAAAAGGAGACATCTTGAAATGAAGGCGTGGGGAGGGGAGGGAGGGGGGCTGGATAATATGTAATGTTTCAACCAACCAGCCTAGATCATGCAGAAAAGACACATTTTCATCCTGGAAGTGACATAAAATGTGTGATTTTTGTAAAAGAAACCTAATTATCTTTGCCCTTGGTTCTTTAACAGTAGCCACACAAAAATCCATGATGCAGCGCCAATGCATGGGATCATTTGGGTGTTGCTTCCAAAAACCTGTTTTAGTGCTATTTCGAGCAAGAAAAGAAAAAAAATGTGAAAATGAGCACATTGCCTCATCCTTACTGCTGCAAATACACTTCACGCGGATGTGTTTCCTACATCGAGTAAAACCTTAACACATGGCAATGCAGCTTTAGTGACTGCATAGTTTTCTTAAGAGTGGTGCTTGAGGCTTATTAGCAGTTTGGCTTGGTAATGGTGGCAATATGGGCATGCTTTTCTGAGCCAACAGTCCTTAAAATCGAGGGCTGAGGGTTTACAGTCTCAGGTCAGTTGTAACAAGCCTGTCAGGTGTTACCAGTGTGTCATTTTCACTTACATACATAAATACATTATGTTGAAAATAGCATGCAATTTAACACCTACACACACGGACGCACAAACACACTCATGATGCTGCTCTTACATGTAAAAACATGCATGTGCACAAAATTGAAAACACATGCCTGTGAGGCTCTCATCTGATAATAGTGTCTCTCTCTCCCTCACACACACACACACACACACACAGACACACAGATAATAGTGTCTAATTTAGGCCCTCATATCTGTAGAGTTCTCCAGAGGACTAGACTTCATCAGGAATATACTGGTGACCTACATACTGGAAACACACACACACACAGACACACACATGCCAACATTATAACTGCACATGCTTCTGCACTGGGACACACAAATCTACAGTACAGAAATCTGCATGCAGACACATGCACAGGAACATGCCAGCAAAACCGCTGGTGAAGCTGTGCCCACGCAATCAGATGCACACATTCGCAGACGTGCAGGAGTGTAAACATGTCTATATGCTGTGTCTGCTTTCACACGCTTTCTGTTTACAGGAATGTACAGTATGCGCTCACATCCTCTCTGAAAGATCAAAAATGTTCTCACGAAGCCCTCACATAAACTGAACTGAAGGGAAACACGTATTTATGTTGAAAATTGTGAAATGAGGTAAATATAATAACCTGCTCTGGGTCAGAACCACATTGATGCTTTATGTAGACCAGCCTTCAGTGTGAAATTAAGTACATCCCATAGTGTTTTGGGAACTAAAAAAGATTGTAATCCACCATAAAATTACTTCTAAGCTCACTTTGATTATTAGTAATAAAACAATAGAACATATGCACTCCTGCCATAATCATACCTAACACATTATCCAGAGTATATCCTTTGTAATTTTACAGTTTATTTCAGGACTCACCAGCCAATCCCATATAAAGCTCCTTCATTTCGGATTCCAGGTAGAAAACAACATTCCTGAAGGCGCTTTTGCAGCTGATTTCCACTTTAAGTGCTCCTGCTGTCCGGCTGAGGGCAAATCTTGCAATAATATGTTACAGGAACAGCACCATGTTCCTGGTGAGGGGGACTGGAAATGCTGTATCTACGCTGTATTATGCATTCTGCTGGCACCAGACAGACCTCCAGTCATCATTCATCATTCATGGGCATCGTCTGTCAGCATCTCAGTCTACTAAATGGCCAAGAGGACCTGACAGAGAATGAGATAGAGAAAGAGGGGAAAATCTTAACTAAACATACCAGCAGGCCTGACTCAGACACAGTTATCAAACATGCACACGAAAGAAGTGAAGGACAAGGAGACAATTTCATAAGGGAGAAAATATATAAGGGGTGATATTTACATCTATCAAAAACATCCTAAAATCTTTTAATACCCCCGTATCCTAAAAGAGTCAAACTATATTCAGGGGCCGGTTAAAGAAACATTTAGAGCCCCAGCAGTAAGATAGCTGGCAACCGGCGGAGACATTGGCAGACATTATGGGTGACTGTCTGCTCAGCACGATGTTTATAAATGGCTAACAGAACCTGACTCATACACAGTATTGGTTTAAAGGAGAAGGAACTGAGGTTGGGACCACAACTGATTCAGAAATAGACGTTTGAACCAGCATGGAAACACATTAACTATTTTCACATTTATGGGTGGTTAGAGGGACTCGTCTCAATGGCGAAGAGAACCTGACTCATACACAGCGGTGTCTCTACTTAGCACCACAGCTAAATTGTAATAGCAGCTCTTGGAGCGAGTGTCAGACCGCAACTGATGGAGTAGTCATTCGGCGTAATTAAAATTAAAGCTGCTTTATCTGTAATATATTGACAATAAATGAAAGATTCTGTAGTAATTCATGTCTCACAATAAAGACCATCTAGGACTAGAAGGGGGAAAACCGGGTTGTGCAAGTGAAGCAATGGGATTGTTTTTATGAGCAGAAATTAACTCTTTTGTCAATCACACATGTAGCTTCCTCCTGAAATAATTCGCAAAACTTCTGTTGTTAAGTTTATGTGAACCAGAGATAATAATGCACACTGAATGGGCCTACAATGCAGTCACAGTCACTGATTATGTAATTATCTGCTGCCGCAGTAAATCAGAGCCTAATTACAGGCAGACTGCACGCACACACTGAATGAAATTTGTGTTTTCATGTATATAAATCTGACTGATAGAGTCCAAAGATTCTGGTGTAGGTTATTTCATTAATGGAAAGGACTTGTTTGAGGCAAGAGAGTTGAAAGTTTGGATATTAGTATGTTGATCATGATGTTGATTAAATGTTTACATATTAGACAGACTGACACAAGGGAGGTTTCTAGTTATCCACAAGGAGGACGTTGTTCATCTCTACTTTCGTAACTAAAAGCAGGACTGGAAAAGTTGGCACAGCAGTCTGCAAGTTCTGCTAATGCCACAATATCACAGGATTGAAAAAGAAAACACACACACAGTATACAGTGTTTCTGATGCACATTTCAGAAAACAATAGGAATAAAATGTGTCCAAAGTTTTGAAAAGTTTCTTCAAGAAAATATTTTCTTTCCTGTTGAGGTAACAGAGATTTGGCAAAACAGAAACTCAGTTTGTCTCCTGCTGCCTCTGGGCAAGACAGCTAGGAGATAACTCGTCTTTGCACCTGCACTTACCGGCTTTACTGCGATACAGAATATAGATTTTTACAACAGACTGGTATAAACCAAAGACAAACATGGATGGAAGCTAAACAAGCAATTGATCAAAGTATGCATAAGATATACTTAAACCACAGATGGTGTCGTGTTGGTCCTGTTTTTGAACCTGCAATCTATAAACTGTAACAGATTTCAATTAAATGTGTTGGAAATGGCATTATTCAATGAGCTGTGAACGGCTCCTCCATGGCCACATGACATTTGCTTTAGCATCACCATGATGGCAATATTCTTTAGTCTTCATAGAGTACATGTCACCGTCAGGAAGACTTATAATAACTTTGGAGATTCCTTGATTTTTTATTAATTTCTCCGTAACTGATTGCCACTGTGGAGTTAGATTTTTTGTTCCAACACTACTTGTGCATAACCAACTTCCTGCTTAATCAATAGCATTCCCATCAGCCTTAGGGTTTTTTTGTTTGTTTGTTTTTACCTATTTGCAAGTTTGCATGCACACAACCTAAATTAAGAGTTTCACTGCAAACATTAAACCCAGTAAACATCAGCATTGTACCAGCACTGGGATCGTCACCGCGAGCATGTTAGCATGCTAATATTAGCATTTAGGTCATAGAGCTGCTGTGCCTATGTTTAGTCTCAGACCTGTAAGCACGTCTGTAGATTGTTAATGGTGTTCCGCGTCCATGCTCATTTCAAGTTTATCAATTGTAGTTTGAAATTTTACATTTATTTACCATTATTCCTCTGTTTCATGAAATTTCAGCCAGTTGGGTACATATGGAAATGTATTGATATTGTTAATATAAATATATCAAATAAATAAATACAATGCAGCCTTGTTGACCTGTAGGCTTGATCAGTTCTATATTTTGCTTTAATGTAGTTGTTCTTCGTTTTCCTTTACTATTTCCTTCTGTGAATACTTTGGCAACACGACTGTGACATGCCATGCCAATAATACAAATTGAAAAACAACGAGAGCGGGGGATGCCGCGTGACGGGAATATGTCTTGATTACATGATGTTATTTTCATGCAATGAGACAGAAAGCAAAGGAGAGGCAAATTTAAAGGGACAGAGAATGTAAGAGAGACTGACAGACAGACGCAGAGTAAGAAGAGGGAGAGCGGAACAGACAGCGTTTTCTAATCACACGTTCAGTGTGTGCTACCAAAGAGCTGAGCCACTGTTATGTAAACCGGAATGAAACATTCATGAGCAAACCATCGCTTCACTCTCAACCCATCGGGATAGAGAATAAATGACCCATATGGTGGGTTGGCTACTATCTGAAACTCATCTATCGCAAACTGCAGTTCTGTGTTGGGTTCAGTGCACAAGGCAGACATCAAAACCCAGGGAGAAAGACAAGTACAGTATGCGGAAAAGCAGGAAAGGGGTACAACATTTATTGGCCCGAACTGAAAAAACATTGTGCTGCCAGAGCAACTAAGGTTACATTTGAACTCCAAGGAGCAATATGGAGAGGGGTTGTTGGGGGTGAAGGCAGAAGATGAAGGACAAAAAGTTGGGTACAGAAGGAAGAGAGGAATGAGCAGAGAGACAGGGATTAGGCAATAAAAAGACAGATGAGATCAAGAGACAGTTCTGACACGCTCAGGCAGCGAGTGCTTTCTGTGAGCCTGGGAGCAGCTGAGCCGAGTGGTTACACACCCACACTCATGAACGCACGTACACACACACACACACACACGCGTATATGCACAAAGTTGTGATGTGGTTAGCTGTGACTTTGTGTCTGACTGGGTATATATATGAGATGTTTAGAACGGGGCTGCACTGTAGGAAGTTGTGCCAGATCCCCAACACCACACCCCACCAGCATAAGGAGAAGGGGACTTATTGGGCTTTGGGCTTCTGTTGTGGTTTCTTTAATTCTCTCTCTTTTTTTTTTCCCAGTCTCTGACTCTCACTCTATCTCCGTCCTCGCTGTCTATCTGTTTCTCAGTCCAATGCTCCGCTTCCCCTTGGCTGTTTCTCCACATTTTCTCCTCTCTGCGGCCATCAATCTTTCTCTCATCCTTAACCCATTCATCTTTGGCTTTCTTCGAGGCACTGCGCGTCCATGAATAACATTTGCGGTGATCTAACATCATGATATCTGCATGTAAGCATTCAAATAGGCAAGCGTGACTCTGGCTCAGCAATCTGAATTCAGTCAAGGAAAAAGGAACATGAGAGGACCTTTTAGAGACAGTTTTTACACCGAGGAAGTGTGCTTTTCAGGAAAACGCATCAGTGAGCCGGGCCCCACGAATGGTTAAAGACTCTGATGTTTTGGGCGTGTTTAAGCCCAAATACTGTACCGTGAACACAAGAGGAGTTTAGATTATGACTGTAATAAGTATAGGAACCTCCTGTCAGATAAACCACACCACTCTGTGATCATGAGGTGGTGGGCTTTGTTGAGGTTTTGGTCTTCTGTTGTGGTCGCTTTGTACTTCATTGCTATTCTTTTTTTTTTTTTTTCCCTAAGATTACCATGACATTCTCCATCACTCAACCTCTTCTCTCTCTCGCCTTTTTCTTTGCCCTCCAGAGTCTGATTTCAGTTAATGACTTGAATATGAGCAATAACCAGAGCTACATACTGTCCTTTGATTTTCTCAGGCTTAAAGCTGCCCTTATGGTCCCTCTGTTCTTATAAACTCGTCTTTCTATACCTCATTTTAACTTGAAAGAAGTTCTAACCTGCTTTTTTTGTATCGCTTGGCACGCAGGCTGGTTGGAGACTCTTGAGTTTTGAGCGATCATATGTGTTTACACCCACACGTTTTGCACAGATGCACCAAAGTACACGACCACACGCACAAACACGAGAAGAAGTCTGGGTGCACTTAGACACACATGGAACCTGACAATCTGATTTTCTGTCTGTATACACACACACACACACACACACACACACACACTATCTTCTGCCCTTCTACCTCCACACACACACACCCCTCCTCTCTTCCCCCATTTCCTAAACCTCAAACACCCACACATTGACTCTTGATTCAATTAAACCACAGTCAAGTCTGGATTGTGACATATACCCCCATGGAGAGGAGTGGGAGATGTGTGCGTTCATCTGTGTTCTGTGGGTGTATGTGTGTGTGTGTGAGTGTGTGTAGGCAGATTATTACTCATGTTATGGGGACCCAAGTATGTTTAGAGACAAAAAAGCAATCAAATAATTGCATTTTAAGGGGGCTTATGGTTTGGTTTAGATTCAGATTAGGGTTGGAGTTGGGGGCAGGCAAGTACTACTAATGATAAAGTTAAAAAGAAGTCTCCAGACAATGAATGTAAGTCAATGTAATGTCCTCTGAAGTCATGAAAGCACTGCTCTGTGCCCAAAACTCTTACTACTTAAAGCCATAGCTCGAGAGAGAAAATTGTGATTCTCATTTCAGCCAAAATATCAATGATATCTGTAAGTATAACTCAATACAGTTGTTGTATTATACTTGCTTATAATAAAGCGCTTATCTCACAGGTAGCTCAATTGAGAGAAAAAAA